GAGGAATTAGGTGGGATAGTTATCATTTTTTTGGCCCCTTCCGGACACCGCTTGATTAATCGGAGACTTCTTTCAGGAGATCAATATTGTATGTTTGGCCCTATGAAAAATGATAAGTGGCGATTGGAAGTAGAGAAAATTGAACCAGAAAATAGGTTCGTTCTTGAAGTATCGCTCTGAAACCCGATTTATGGAAGCCCTTATCGAACTTCTTATTCCAGAACCATCAGAGCTGCCATCAAAAAGCTGCACGAATCCGGGTTCAAGGTGTTTTTTGTCGACTATTTATGTATCATTACCCCGTTTTCAAATTTTTCACCTTTTAAATACATCTTTTTTTTATTTCTGCTGGTTTTGCAGTGCATGTATGGTCGTTGGCTGATTGATGGCTACCCAAAGGTGATCCTGTTTGATCTGGGATCGGGTGCCTTGAAGATGAATGAGTGGAAGCAGGAGTTGTTCGATAGGTGGGAACACCTTACATTGTTTCCCCCGTCAAGCACTTGCAAAGCCGTGCACTTTGCAATGGGTATTGATTTTACGCGTTCTTAATCGCCAACCCCATTTTGCAGCGGTAGCTGCCTTACTCGTTGTCAGTACATCCGAAGTTAGTACAACGATTGCAGGTGCCGAATTGGTATTCCACACGAGGACATTGAATCTAATGATGCCGTGATTTTCGGATTCCTAGTGGCAGTCTTTCTGAAACATTTTAGAGAAGCTATTACTGATTATCAACCCTTAGTGGTGGCCCATTTCCATGAATGGCAAGCGGGTTCGTTTTTTCTTGTGCCTTTTATCTGTTTTCTATTGCTGTTGCGTTTTTTCTGAAATGAGGGTTGCAGATAAGAATGAATTTACAGGTGTCGGACTGCTTATGGCTCGACTTTGGAAGCTGGACATCGCTACGGTGTACACAACGCATGCAACCCTTCTGGGTAGGCATCTTTGCGCTGGCGGATGTGATTTCTACAACGCTCTTGGCACGTTCAATCTAGATGAGGAGGCTGGAAAACGAAAAGCAAGTTTTTCGTTACTAACTTGGGTTAGATTTTGATATCCCAGGTAGAAGAAATGATGACTCTGGGGTCAGTATGGACATTTCTATTACTGTACTCACATACTCTAGTCGCTACCGCATCCTGGACCATTTCTAAGACCATTTTTCTTCCCTCTTAACCCATTGCGTACCGCGGCGTTTTTTGGCTGGCTGGCGCGTGTGGCCGGCGCCTATTTAGACCCCCGCCGCATGCTGCGCGATCCTATAAAACTTTCATTTATATTATAAACACCTATTATATAAGCACTGCGCATATATCTTACACATTTGCAGTATTTCATGTTTATTTTTGTACAGTGGAATTAGTTATTATTGCATGATATAGGGAGTAGGGTAACCGAAAATGCGACAGAATTGAAAAAAGAGTTTTGAAGAATATAACAAGTGGAAAAAGAGCTGAAAGTGATTGAAACGTAGTAGCTTTAATTGTTTTATATGCTCGAAGTTGTCGCTTAGCCGTTCCTTCACTTTTACTACAATTTAGCGAAAAAATTGAGAGGTGCAACTGGAGTTTTTCACAACAAATACCAGTAATTCAGGAATTCCTTCGCATTGCGCAGTCCCACGTCTGTATGTTATTCTCCGGATTCAGTTTATCATTACTATTAGATTAGAGCACGAGAAAATGTCGAAAATACCCTTCAAAAACCCGTGCTGCACCATGTGCAGCACGCGGCCACACGGAGGCAAATCAGCGTGCTGCACCATGTGCATATTTCGCGAGTAACGGAAATGGAGAATCGCTATGAGCTATGAAGAAAACCCTTGTAGGAAATGTACAAGGACGCCACTAGGTTGAGTTCCATATCTTGCACCTTTGGGCGTGACCTCAGGCGTAGAATATTCCCAAGTACTAGTGGGGCTCTCAGACCAGATATACCGGGCAGGCTTCCAACAAAGCACCAACGGTTACATATTGATCAATTTTCAATATGTTCTGTGAATTCTGACGATTTGCTCCCATTTCATGCAATTTTCGTGAAGTTTTAAAATGTCCCTACACTTTCTCCGGAACGGTCTCCTTATCGAATCGAACCCTATTTTCAGAATACTGCCCCTCCAAAAGTTTCAAGTTAGGCCTCTCTTCCAGAATCACCCACAAACCATTACTATGCAGTTGGCTTTTAAGGGCGGTTAACCCTGATCGCTGAAATGCTTCTCAAAACAGGAACAAGTATTAAAATCCATCGTACAGTCCTCAACTAATTTTTGAGCCCACCTTTACTATGCCTCCTTCAAACCCCCGCATTTGGCTGCCACCTTTGAATAACAGCGATATTGGAGGACTGCTTCAGCCTTGCAGATCACTCGTTCTTGATGATAATGTTTGTTTGAAGATCTACCATCAGTACTGCCTTGAACGAGCTGCATGTCATTCTGCTCACATCTTCACAACCGTGTCGGAAATCACTGGACTAGAAGCCGAATATCTACTAGATAGAAAGCCTGATATTTTAACTCCTAACGGCCTTAATGTCGTCAAGTTTTCCGCTTTACATGAGTTTCAGGTGAATAGACACTTTGCGCTTCAATAAGACTGTAATTCATTTAATTTATCTCCGAATTCAGAATTTGCACTCAATGGCCAAAGAGAAAATTCACAACTTCATTCGTGGACATTTTCATGGTCATTTGGACTTCGATTTGGATAAAACGCTTTATTTGTTCACTGCCGGCAGGTTAGCGGTCGTTTAATTGTTTTCAACAATGCTGAACAAAGGTGCTGGGGTGTTAGTCGAGTAATATTTTCTATGACGGGGCTTTAGACTTGCCTGCTAGTGGCGCAGGGGTCGTATTGACTCGTTCAGTGTGCCCGTGCCATGCTCACATTCATAGCGAATTATGTGGTAAACAATTCGATTCACATGAATAAATGATCTCTATTTCTAAGAACTGATTGATCGGTGACTTATTCATTATTTGAATTGTTAAAGATAAACTGGAGCTGGAGATAAAATAAGGCCAGGTATTAGGTACCGGATATCTTAGTGTCGTTTTTTCACCACGAGTTTCGGACCACCAATATTTTAATTCAGAATCCGGGGAGTGAAACAGCATATTCATCGAATGACTCATTAGCACTTTCCCATTTACCAGTATGAGTGGAAACCTCGTACGATTAAAGCTAGGAATTTTTTGAGTCGAAAAAGAGAGGTAGGTCGGTTTTGACATCATCTGACAAATCATCCCTCTCACTTGCTAAAAAGTTAGGCCTGGACAAAAGAAGTATACAGTTAGTTAGAGTAGGGTCTGCACTGTATGGTGGAAAAGTTAAAACTTACCAGCTCAACTGGACAATTTTTCCCGGAGTCTTTTTTGCCACATAGGGTCAAAAACGCACCCTTTTTGAGCACACGTGAGTAGCAGATGAGCACATTTATTAGAATTTCTTGTGCAATCAACTTCGTTAAAGCGTTTGTGCATCATCGATCAGTCACTGCTAAGGTGTCCTACCATTTCAGCACAAGACTGGTGCAGCCCCGTCTCGACTGATTTACTAGGGCCACCTTTTTGACGACGATTGCGGGCATCACTTCAAAGACTTCACTGTCTTTTGAGAAAACTGTGAAAAACCGATGAGCATTTTAAATGGTAGTATTCCCTCCAACAAATGCAATGTTGGTTTGGTGGGCGGAAGTTGTAGCTCTCAGCAAGAATTTTGAAGCATTTGGTACACACATGCGAATTTGCACACTGGACCCAGGAATTTTCAAAAAAAGTATAAAAATTGGGGGAAAGTTAAATTGTGAACCAACAATAGAAAACAATAAGCAACATATTTCGCAGTATTAATGAGCAAAAAGGACTTTCTGAGATATTGATTTTCCATAGTAATCGGCCCCAAAACTTCCTGAACTCAGAAAAGCGACACTAAGATATCCGGTACCTAATATTTTTAATGGTGACTTTTTTACGGAGCATTTTTTCTGAAGTAGCACTGTTATGTTGTACGAAGGACGGGTTATCATTCCGTCTTGGTGTCATTTACTACTGTTGTTTTTTTTTTGTTTTTTTTTAGTCTTTCTCTTTCTCTGAATGAACAACTATTTGTAGATATTTTTAGCTTATTTAGGCGCTACCGCAAGGTAGGCGGCATCTTCAGGGACTAACTGTAAGCCTAGCAAGGGACAGGACTTGTGGGAGGAATGAAATTTTCCGCGCCTAGTGAAGTCTCTCCTCTTCAGCCTGAACTAGTCCTTGCTCCTCAAAAACGAGTTTTATTTACGCCGCATTTCGAATGCGTTCCTAACTCATAAATGCTCCCGTATCTTGCGATAGCGCCTTTATTTAAAAGCTGCTCAGCCGGAAGTCGAACTCGAGCTTCGCTTGTGGCAGATGCATATACTGACCATTATATTGTGGGGACTTCACCAGCTGTCGAGCGATTTGTAATTCCTATTATAGGCTTGATCTATTTTTCATGGTATATCTCTTTTATGGTATCGGTGTGGATATGCCCTTCTAATCCCTAATTATATATATTGTAGCATTTTGGATTTTATGAAGCGATGGCTTACATTCTCGTTTTGTAAACTCCTCGACTAACCGCCATCGTCTTCAACAGAATGGCATAAAGGCGGAAAATGATGGAGCATTCCACGTCAAGTGAGATCCCCTTGGGATGAGCCACGCGCATTCTACTCTACGTACAGAATCGTTAGTGACAATTCGAATGTGACTTCGCATTCAATGGCTTGTGGAGATCAGCCGCTGATCAAGCCAGGCTTTTCGTCGTCCTAGATAAGTCTGGTAATATTCGACCTCGAATGAATACAGAGCCCTGGACTTGCGGTACGTACGTTAGCCCGCAGAATTTGATCCGCGGCCATCGTGCGAGTGAAGCAGCGCCCTCTTTCTCTACTATTCACCTACTGCTTCCCCATGGGTATAAATCAACATGCCACATTTGATATTACCGTCTCTTTATTTTCTCTTCCCCTAGTCCTCACTAATTTCGGATTTTTGAGGAGATCTTTGCTCGTTCGAGTTCTCGTAGTAACTCTATAAATTACTGCGCACTGCAAGTATCCATCTTGACCTTTTCAGCTACGTGAGATCTGCCATCCTTTAGGTGTTCACATCATTTTCGATCTTCAAATACGTGAGAAATCTAAGACGGGGTTGTTGTTGCAATTTCCGAGTGTAATCGAACTTGACGTCATGCAGACACATGCTGCAAGTTGAAGAAAAGTATTATCTGTGCTTTGATGAGATATGGGTAAATTTCCCCAACGCTCAGCACTCCGGCCCGTGGGAACTTTTCAACAGGAAAGCGAAGTCGTGTTCGTTATTTTTTTGAGGCGGGGAAGGTTGTTCTCAATGGGAGTTAGCATTGGTTGTTAGTTTATATTTTGGAATCTTGACAATAAATCTGAAAGTGTTCAACTAAATTTGGAGAATTTTGAGGATCTAAATTTTTTTCTCTTCAGCACCTACAGCAATTCAAATTTTATAGTATTGGCGTTCTTTCCTCTTGCCCCATCTCCCCCCCCCCACCCCTCCTCCCATCCTTCTACTACTTCCCTTTTTGTCGCTCACTTCCTCCCGCTTGGCGCGCATCTTGGAGAAGAAAGATGGGAATAGGGTTCGTGGTGCGGATTGCCACTGGTTTCTAGATGAAGGTCGTAAGGGACTCCCTGCGGAAGTAAATAAGACGGAAGGCCGTGCTCAGTTCAAACGTTCCCAAGCGCAATGTTTTCTTCCTTCTACCCCATCTCTATCCCTTTTCTCCCATCCTTCCCTTACTTGACACTGTAGGTTGTTCGAATCTTCGACCGTTCTTCTGTTTTGAATTATTTAATTCATTGGGAATACTGAAGTGGAGCGCCCTGATTGCCATCAAAGCTTTCCAACGATGCTATAGGAAATCTATGCCCGATCATGCAGGGTAAGAATTGCCCTTCAAGCCCGGAACATCCAACAGAACGAAGTTGCACGAAGCAGCTGCCCGATTAGCGGCCGGTGTGGGTTTTTTCTGGATGTTGTTAAGTCCACGTTTTCGTTCCTTGGCGATCAGTGAACACCTATCAATGCAATCTCTTGTGATGAACTGCTGGAGGGAAGATCTTCGATAGTTGCGATGGTATCCAAAAAACATAATATTTAGTTTGATTTTATAATACGAAATAATAGTATCACAACAAGTCACATCGAGAGGGGGAGAAGGTCGAAAAATTTTGAAATCGGGCCAACATGACGGTTCACCCTGCATTTGAGTGCAAGTCGAGGGTACTTCATTACCGGTTATTTTTATCGAGCATTTATCATATACCAGTTTAGCTCCGCACGCATCCGCGCGCATTATATGGATGGGCTTCAGTGACAACCTGTAGAATGTTAGGTCACATGGCTGAGAAATATTATTGAGCTGCTTTGAAAAATGCCCTGATAAATGCAATAGGCTGCCCATTCCGCTGAATACACT